GTGTGTGTATATATATATATATATAAAAAACCCCTCCCCCCACTTCTGGCTTATGCTTGCCCTCCTTGCTCTTTTTGCAGATACAAGATATCTCATTTACGGGCAGAAATGGCCAAGGCAGTTTCCAGGCCTCAGATGTATTTTTTACTGGCAGCCACTCTGGTGGAATTATATTTACCCATGCTTTGGTTTGTTTCTCTTTTTGCTTGTTTTTGTAGAAGATGGCAAAAAAGAAGAAAGAAAAAAGAAAGTATACTCTCCCCTAGGATCCACTTTCTGTTTGCTGATCTGATTGCAGTTCAATTGCTATTAATAAACTGAACTGAGCAACATGGATTAAAGGCAAGAGCAACACCAGCTTTTGTTGGTTTAAAGCATGAGGAACATCAATATAATGGCTTCAGAGGAACCCAGCCTAGGGCTAAATTCTGACTTAACTCTCCTGTGGGGTGCTGCAGACAAGATGAAACACAATGTCTCAACTGAAGGTCCCCAAGCCAGTACAAAGCAGGACAGATGTGGGAAGACATGGGAGCAATTCGCTCTGCAGCACTCCTTGCTGCACTTTCAGAAAGAGACAGTGTGTGTCCTTCTTTTGGAACCTAATGCTTATCACAGCTTGTGTGCACACAGCACAGAGGCCTGTCTGGATCTCCAAGCCAGCTGAACAGATTACATCAACAAGATCCCAATATGAACTGTCAAAAGGCTTTCCTACTCTGTCTCTATCTTCTGTGAAGTAGGCAGAAAATGCTCCCAGCAAGAAGGATTTACTCTGAATCTTCCAAAAGCCATAATGAAAATGTTGGAGTTTCCATCCAAGAATGGTATTGGCAGCAAATTGAAGGTAAATAAACACATTAGCCATACAAATTTCTTCTTTGTAATAATTTCAGAGAAACAAACCTCTCTCTGTAACCCAGACATTGTGTTGTACAACAGGAATTTTTTGGGATAACTTCTACCCTGCTGTAAGTGCACTGCAATGGGAGTTACAGCCACTTTATGCCAAGACTGTTCTTTGTTCAGTATCTCTCAGATGTGCTGTACTTCAATTTCATTACCTCATAATTTCTAAGAATTGTCCTGTTTACTGAGAAAAGACCAGTGAACTGGACTGCACACTCAATGGTTTCTCCATGTGCAAACAACAGAGGAACCACCTATCTATTATCATTACCCAATCCTTGATTTTATTTCTTATCTTTACATAATTAATGGCCAAGTTCACACTGTTTACTTTAACTCACTTCCTGCAGAGGATGACTCTATCTGAATTTTTAACCAGATATTCACTCGCTGGCTCCAATCTCCTGGTGCTTCCACCTCCCACAGTCGCTTCTGCTCCTCGGGATAAATCTGCAAGAATTTCTGGCAAACTGAACAGGAGAAAGCAAGGGGTAAAAGCATGAATGAGTGAAAAGTACAGTGGAAGAGGGAGTGTCTTCTATCCCACAAATTCTTTCAGACCTACTTTCATTAGTTCCTTTGGAAATCTTTTCTTCTCTCTTCTCATCTTCCTTTTTCTCCTTTTAGCTAAGGCTTTTAGGAAAAGTGTATATGGAATGACCTAAACAGGCACCGAGTGAATCCTGTCCATCTGCTTCAATCTAAATTGCTTCCTTGTGGGTGCAGAAATACAGGACTTGAAATGCCTTACTGAGCCACCTTCTTCTGGCACTGCATCACAGAACTCTCTCCAGACACTTAGTAGGTTTTAGACTAACAGCAGTACAGGTTTTTTCACCCTCACTGCTCTGCAATGAAAGGTGTTTCAGCATCTTCCAGCTTTAACCATTAAGAATGCTACTCAAATTTCTATTTATAAACAAAAGGTTTGCATGGGTTTGTTCTTGGGCTAATACCATCCTCCATTTTATCACTGCTACCCTGTACTCCGTTGCTGGGGTTCATTTACTTATTTGGGTGTGAAAAACAGGAAATAGGAAGATCTAACAGAGCAGTAACAGGGGTACCTGTGTCAAATGAATGATCACCTGGAGAAACCATATTGCCACAGACTCCTGTTGCTGTCAGGACATACTGAATATTAATATAATTCGGATATTAATTCTGTCTTATTTAGAGGTTTCCTTGGGTTGCCTGCAGAGCTAAGAGGAGGTAGATGTTGCAGGACAAACAGTTAAAAAAATTTAAAAGGGATTTTTTAACTTTTCTTAATCATCATTATATCAGCTCCAACCACAGTACTAAGACAGTAACTTGTAAACAACAAAAGTATTTGCAGGCTCTCCTCTGTCCATTCTGATTCATCATACTACAGAAAGAATCTAGATGGGTCATTTAACACCAATATTCAGTTGAGTTTGACATTGGGATGTTGAAACAAAAACCCTAATTCTGGTATGTAAACATTTGCCTCACACTAATGAGCAGATCACTGTCATTAATTTTATCCAAGGATATCCAAAGTAAATTAATTATTTCAATAAAAGCTACTGAAAGTAACGTATATACCAAAGTAGAGATATATGCTAAATGGCTTTTTATTTCCTCTTAGGCCTCTATGGCACATTAAATAGCATGCTAGTGAAAACTGTGCACATTTAGGATAGAGGTTTAGAGTAAAAGGTTGCATTCTTTTGTCAAAGTATGAGACTGTGGTTCCAATTAAATTTTAAAATGGCAGTGACTTCAATATACTCAAAATTTAACTTACAGTATTAGTATTTTTATAAAAGTAGGACCTAGAAAACCTAATTAGAACATGGTACAAGTCAAATTTATTCACTATTAGCTCTAATCTTAGCTGAGATGAAAGCACAGTCTTGGAATATATTGCTAGTGTTAACACAAAAACAAGGCAGCTTTCTGATCCATAGTGTCTAAATCATTGATGTTTATGTCTAAGCAACAGGAAAAATCAATATTTCTAGGAGAAGAGAAAGAATGTTGTCAATACTATTTCTTCTTGAATTTAGAAGCAGCAGTACCTTAGAAACTCCTGGGGTACATTTGTATATGTTTAATGGTACATACTGATCAAGAGCAAGAACAGATACAGTTAAAATTTTGTTGACACTTCTTAGGAAATGTCTGTGAACTCATAAGTCAATAGAAACATCTGATGGTAAAGACTGTATACCATACAGAGAGAAACTTTAGGAAAAAAAGCTTTTCTAAAGAAAACAATTTTACAAATAATGTAAGCACTTGTATTTTCTGTAAATTTTACTAGCAAAGCCAGAACTTCAACCTGAACACAGAGAAGATATACAACTCCTTCATGATCTTTTAAAAGTGTTCAAAGACAGTCAACATGAAACAAGTACTGATGTGACTGGATGAATGAGCAGAGCCCAGGTATATGGCTTATTAAATCTAATTTCTTATAAATGCAGAATCTACAAGAGCACTACGTGCATAGGGTAGGCTTGACAACATCTTATGATTCTTTTCCCTCTGGTATCACATAACTGGGTAAGTCACTGTCTAGGGCAATGACACAGTTCTATTTCTAAGAGGGAGTGAGATAAGAATGCAAAATGTCAAACAGGCAGTATGAGTTTTATGCTTCTCCTTGTTTTACATAAATACTGGCCTACCTCTCTACAGGAAATTCCAGATGTTTCAAGAAAAGTAACCAGTTGCATGCTAACGACAGTTCAGTTTTGACAAGTGCACTGAACTCTTATACAGTTAAGAAAATCCCACCAAGAGAGTATTGAAATTTATACATTATACATGACCCTTACCTAACACTTCCACATCAAAAGATTTACCTTGATACATCACAGCAGAAATAGGGCAGCTGATCCCCAAGGCATCCTCATCCATGAAAGACTGACAGAAATCATGCAGCATTTTCATCCCCAGGCCATCTCTTCTGTACTTTCTCCGGACAAATATAGTATCCAAAACCGGCAGCAAGTAACATTGACTGGTTGTACCATCACATAGGCTCCCTGAAAGCAGACAGTAACAAATGCATGACTTTGAAAACAAAATTGGTATTGCTGCACTAACTAATCACTGTGTGATTCTAGCCACAAATAATGCCCTGATACCTTTCCACAGGATGATCCCAGGTGAAGGGTATTTGCATAGACAGTAAAACACTTTCCAGGAGGCAGATTTGTACAAGTAAACTGAGAGGACCTGCTTGACTTGTGGGTTGACAGGTCTCACCATAGTATTTTCCAGACTCTGATTCTTCATAACCAGACCATTTAAGTACATAGACATCGTACACAGGGAAGTTCACTGAAAAGATATAACCTTAATATTCATTGTAAACAACTTAGGGTCCTATTGCAGGACATATACTAACAATTCACTGTGTAACTTCCATTCAGTGCAGAATACCATAGAAACAGAACCTCAAACTAGTTGACAGCATAAGCATTCAACCCTGAAATGAATGACCAACACCAGTTCACCAACTACCTACATACAGGATAAGGTAACCATAGAAACATCTGGCTGAATTATTTTAATTTTTAGAAAATATTTATAAAAAAAATATGCTGCTTCTATCTTTGTACATGGCAGTTTAAATAGAAATGGATATCTAGGCCTTTATAACAGAAAAATACTACATTTCCTTACTTTGTTGCTTAAATCTCAGAAAGACCTTCTTAGTTTTCTCTCTTACCACTCACTAGTGTACCACTCAGTCTAGTTTTCAGTGTCTTGAGACATAAAACTTTCAGCACTTCACTAAGACCTATTTCATAGTTTCACAATCTGCTACTCAATGGCTGTTCCTAAATTCCAGTATAAGACTTTTACTCCATAAATCCATTTTTTCTTTATCACATCGACAATACCTATCTTAAACTGAGGCCTACTTCTCTTCCTTGAGTTGCTGTTGAGTACTTTTTGTGTATAGTTGCTGGGCCTGACTTTGATTACCGTCTTTTCTAGGATGCCAATTCATACGTTACTATATTTAATTCCACACCTGATTTGTCAAGGCTGTAGCTCTCCATTTAGCAAGAATCCATGTCAAACACACTCAGCCATACAACAAGAATATATAGCTACATAACCAACACATTCACATCCAGGCTTGGTCCAACCCCTGCTTAATCAAAGTACACGCTTAACTTCAAACACATGTTCAAGCACATTGTTGGAAAAGGATGGTTTGTGGTGGTGTTTATAACCTTCCAATATTTGTAACACATGATGGGTAGTTACTCTTTTTTCATGTGCCAAAAAATTGAGCATATCCCTAGTCCCATTGTTAGCTGCCAGCCCAACAGAGATGTTGAATTCCAGCAGTGTTGCACCATACATCCTAAGAAAGGGACAAACTTTTCCTCATGAAGTCAATAGCTTTAAGAATTCCTGCATGTTGCAAGTGCACTTATAAGTTTATTATCTCATATAGTCTGTCTCCTATAAATCCTGATGAGGCTGTTGTGCAGCAACCCCAGGAGCTGAGTGATTTATGTCTGTCCTCCTAATTGTGTGTTGAGAAGATTACAAAAACTTGTAATGTCTAAAGGCACTGTAAATAAAGAAACCATGAAGCCATTTTTCACCTTGTCCCTGGGAAACATATTAGAAGAGTCACAGAAGAGTCATAGCCCACAGCCATTTCAAATAAAATAAACAAACCAACCAACCTTTGGAACAAAGGCCACTTTGACTCTAGTTCCCATCCAAAAGCAAAGAGGTTACCGTAAGCTAATGGTGGCCCAGAGGTGACCACTAAGCTCTCACACATTTGGTTCAGAGATTTGTTTCATTGTTGAAATGTACAAACAGACTGTTTTGAGGTGAGGGAGGAGACAGGGAAAATAAGGGCATTGGCGATGGAGATGGAAGTATTCATAGTCTGCCCTTTGAAAGCCTTTGATCTGTTTGGTTAGGTCACAAGTGCCAAATGACCAACTTATGAGCCAGCAAAATGGTAAACAGATATTACAAGGGCAGGAAAGCAGACAGCCATTAGCATTCCCAAACAGCCACAAACCAGAAAGAAAAAAACAAAACAAAAACAAAAAAACCCCAACCCAGACCCCACATCCAACAGACCCAAACAAAACAAGGTTGTGCATACTGACTATTTCCCTGCTGA